AGGGGGGGCCCCGGGGGTTTTTTTGGGGAAAAATTGGGGGGGTTTTCAAAAATTTCAATAAATGGGGAAAGGGGGGAATTTAAAAGGGGCCCAATTTAAAAATCCCAAGGAGAGGGAATTTTTTAAAAAAGGGGTAAATTGGGGGGGGGGGGAAAAAAAACCATAAGAAAGGGGGGGGGAAGGGGGAAAAAAGTTTTTAATTTTAAACAAAAAAAACCCTAGGGGGGAAAACCCCGGGGAAAAATGGAATAATTTAAGGGAGACCCACCCGGTTTTTAAAAAATTCCGGGGGTTTTGGGTTTTTAAAATAATAAAAAAACCCCAAAAAACGGGGGGTTTTGGGGTTTGGGGGAAAGGGGGAATAGGGGGGGGTAAAGAAAATTCGGGGGTTTAAAAAACGCAAATTTTTGGGGGGTTGGTTCCAATTTTGGGAAAATTTTTGGGGAAAAAGCTTTGGGGAAAAAGGGGGGTTTTTTCTTTTTTGGGAAACAAATTTAGGGAAAAAACCGGGGGCCAAAAAGGGGTCCTTTACCAAAAAAGGGGTTTTAGTAAGGGGGGGCAATGGGGGAAAATTCCTTTAGAAATAATTTCATTTTTTGGGGGTTGGGGGTTTTTATTGGGCTTTTCGGGTAATAGGGGGGCTGGGGGGGTTGGGGGCCTGGGGGGGGGGGATGGGGGTTATGGTTTCTGGACGTTTAAAATTTTTAAAATTAAAGGGGGGAAAATTTGGGGGGGGTTGGGGTTTGTTTGGGGGGACGGGTTTAAAAAAAAACGGGCCCAAGGTTGGGGGTTTGGGGCGGGGAAAAATTTTTTTTAAAATTTTTTTGGGGGTGTTGGGGTTAATATTAATTTTTTCGAAGGGGGGTTTTAACAATAAGGGGGGGGACAAAGTTTGGGTTAAAAACCAACGGGGGGAAAAAAACAAAAAAATAAAAATTTTTTCCGAAATAAGTGTTAGGTTTTTTAAAGGGGGAAAGGGGGTTTTTTTTAAATTTTGGGGCAAATTTTTGGGGGGGGAAAAAAACCTTTAAGGGGGGGAATGGGAGGGTTTTAAGGGGGAAAAAGGGGGGGTTTTTATTTGGGCCCAAAAGGGGGTTTAGGGGGGGGAAAACTTTGGAAAGCCCAAAAGTTTTTTTTTAGGGTTTTTCAAGGGGGGGCCTTTTTTGGGGGAAAACGGGGGAACCCCCTTAACGGGGGGGTTTAATATGTCTTTTTAAAATAAGTGAAAAATCGCTGGAAAAAAAAATGTTTACTGGGGGGGGGATAAAAAGATTGGGGCCCTTTCTGGGTTAATGGGGTTTTTCATTTAAAGGGTAATTTTGGAAAAACTTTTGGGTTTTGGGGGGCCGGAAATATTACGGGGGGTTTTTTTTTTCTTTTGTTGGAAAAAAATTGGGGGGCAAAATTACAGGGGAGTGGTTATTTTAAAAATTTCCGGGGGGGAAAAACGGGGGTTATTAAAAAAAGGGGGGGTTACGATTCCCCGGGGGAAAAATCCAGCCGGGGCTTTGGGGAAAACCGGGGGGGAACTAAAAGGGCACCTTTTCCAAATATTTCTTTTTGGGGGATAATTGTTTAAAAGGGGGGTAAGGAACCTGGGGGTTTCGGGGGTTAGGTAAGGGGGGGGAGTTAAATTTTTAAAATTTTAAAATTATTTTTTTTAAATTTGTGTGATGGGGGAAAAAAAAACAAAAAAAAAAAAAGGTTTTAACGGGGGTGGGGATGGGGGGGTTTGGGGAATTGGGGGCCCAAATTTTCCTTTTTAGTGGGGGGGATTGCCCTTTCGAAATGAAGGGGTTGTTCTTTCTTGTGTTGGGGGTGGAAAATTTGGGGGTCGGATTTAATTCCTTTAAAGGACGCCATGGGTTTTTTTGCGGTTTTGGAGGGGAAAATTTAAAGATGGGGGGGTTTTTCAGGGGGGGAAAAATGGGCCAAAAATTTTTTTAAAAATTTAAAAAAAAAAATATGGAAAAAAAAAAATGTAAATTTAAAAAATTAAATTTAAAATTTTTTAAAATTAATTAAATTGAAAAAAAAAAATATTTGGAAAAAAAAATTAATTCTTTCGTAAAAAATTTTAAAAAAATAAATTTTTAATTTTAAAAAATATTGGGGAATAATTTAATATTTTAAAAATTTTAAAATTAGAAATCGGGTTTAAAAACGAAAAAATAATAAAATATAAATTATATTTTAAAAATTATTTAATATAAAATTTTAAAAAAAATAAATATAAATTGAAAAATATTAAATAAATAAAAAAATTTAAAATACAATTTTTTTAAAAAAATATAAAAATTAAAAAAAAAGGTTTGGAGAAATTAAAAAAGTATTTTAGGAAAAAAATTAAAGGGAAAAAGGTTGAATTAAAAAAAATTTGGAAAAAAAGAAATAAAAAAAACCAAAAAAAAAAATTTTTAAAAAAAAAATAAGGAAAAGGTGTTTTGAAAGGTTTTTTCAAAATTCCTTTGGGAAAAAGATCAAGGGTTTAAAAAAAAAATTTTTAAAAATTGAAATTAAAAATCCCGGGTGGAAATAAAATTGGAAAAAAAAAGTGGATTTAAATTTATTATGTTATTTTTTGCAAAAAAAGAAGAATTTAAAATTAAAAGTTTTAGGGCAAAAAATGTATGTTTGAATTTTTAATATTAATTAAAAAAAAAAATTTTTATAAAATTTAAATTTATTTTCTTGTCTTGTAGTCTGGCCCTAACGGACAATCTTAGACTAGCGACTGAATCATCCCCTCCCCACCTTTAGTACGCCACTGGGTTAGCGACATATAGCACGAATATGCAAAGCATAAGGGGTCACTAATACAGGGGGCACATAAGCCTATCCAAACAAATTATTTTTTATCCTATAGAAAGAATATCGAAACAGGCAATGTACCACTCATTAAATACCTTAAATTTGGACCAGCAAAACTGCTATAAACATTACGGGTGGCCATCGGTAAGATCATGACCCAAATATCCTAACTACACTATCCTTGAAAAATCAATTGAGTACCTTTCAGTCATTTGAACAAGGAAGCAAATAAGATGGGTTGATAATTTGAACGCGTACTCTGGACTTCTATGCAATTCTGCACTATTTACTGAACAAATATAGGAAACTTACGCCAATCTATCAGGTTTACAAAGTAAAAAGCATATATATATATATATATATATATATATATATATATATATATATATATACATACATATATATATATATATATATATATATATACATACATATATATATATATATATATATATATACATACATATATATATTACTACAAACAATACTATCATACAGGTTAGAGAAATTAAATTCGTACTCTACCGAGTTTAGAACCCAGGTCCCCGAGTAATTGGCACCAACCAGCACATATACCGTCAACAGTATCCTCATAACTCACATGTACCACAGCAATGTATATGACACGTATCATTCCTTGGTACGCAGCAAGATCAGATTTCAGCCAGAGAAATTAACCAATCGAAATACAATGGATGACCAAGAGCTGTACAATCATGACCTGCAATAAGCTCGTCGCTCCAGCAGCCCTGACGTGAATACTCACCCTGTTATTTTTGAGCAAAAAAAGAATAAGATCAATGACTAGTTAGGGATTAGTGGCATATCCGTTCAAATTAGAAGCTTATATATATATATATATATATATATATATATATATATATATATATATATATATATATATATATATATATATATATATATATATATATATATATATATATATATATATATATAAGTTTTTAAATTCGTTGAATTTTCTGGTCTGATTTTCTTAAGGCATCTCTCACTCTTTCAATGCCCAAATGTAGTCGTTTTCAATCAGTTATTACAAGGACCACGTTAGGATTAACGTTACATGCTTTACATTAATTCTGGTGAATAACTCCTGTCGTCCTGATCTCGATTATTTCACCCCTCCCGCTTGTATTTAGTGCTATCGACTTTACGAATTAAGAGTGCGCGTTCATTCTATCAAATTCCTTAGCCGTACTTTAACTTACATAAACTTGAGGCTATTCCGAATGAAACGATATACTGTAATCTCATCGTCAAAGGAGATTTCAGGAGCCAAAGAATAAATAAGGGTTTAGATGAAGTAAAAATCTTTTTTTTCTTACATATTGCTCTGAATTAGGAGTTTTTACTGAGGAAAGGAGTCTGAAGTTTCCTAACGAACAATTATGTAGATGTGTATAAAGTTTCAATATTACGATATTTTCTGTGTTTGCTTGCAATGTGTGCAATAGCTATCTTAGTTCAATTAATGTCTATTAATGTCTGCCTATGTAAAAAAAAAAAAATGCATCATCAATGGAGCATAACACTCATTAAATTATTGTTCTCAGCTGCCTTTCAAAACTAGCTGGAATATTTTTCTTAAAGTAAAATATGAATAGATATATGATTAAATCTGAAAGTTTACAGTGTCATCTTCATGACCATGGCTATAATGTATTCTGTATCATCTTAAAAAAATAAATAAAATTTCAAGTTTTCCAGCTTTAGTAGACTTTAAATATCTAGTAATGCGAGGGACTCGGCTATCACAGTAAACATGAAATCACTTAGTTTCACACAAAAACCGCCAACTTTAAGAGCTTTTTCCACAAATGAAAGACAGCAACAACAACAACAACAACAACAACAACAATAATAATAATAATAATAATAATAATAATAATAATAATAATAATAATAATAATAATAATAATAATAATAATAATAATAATAATAATAATAATAATAATAATAATAATAATAATAAACAGCGATGTTCACAGATTGTGGATTACCCTTTGCAATATTCTGATGGTATTTATCCCAAATCTATTTTTTCTTCAGTCATGAAACTTGAATGGAAAATGAACATTTTTTGAAATATTTTTGAAGATGGTTGGAACATCTTTATAGGATAGAATGAAAATGTTTTTGCTGCAGTTGATGTTGTTTACATGTGTTATAGAACCGCTCCGGTGGCCTAGTGGTTAGAGCGTCCACCTTGGATGTGGGAGATGGTGGGTTTAATCCCCGGTCGAGTCATACTTACAAAATGGTCTTAACAGCTGCCTTGCTTGGCGCACAGCATTAAGAGGTTAGTGTTAGGATTGGTCGGCCTGGTGTCAGGAAAATGTGACTGGGTGGGACATAATGCTACATCTCTGCGGTATGATACCTCATGCTAGACATCACTATAAACTGCCGTACTGCATATATTGTAGCGATATGACTGAAAAATTGTTAAAGCAACGTTAAAATTCATAATCATATCACATCACATTTGTTATAAAAGTATACTTTGTATTGAAAGGTAAATAAAGGTCTACATTATGCAGTAATGCCTGTCGGTTTTAATATCATTATGTTCAGATATAAGTATATGTAAATTTTACTTTCTGTTTCTCATGAAAAAGTGTACTCTTATCAGCCAATCAAAGAATTTTCTCGTTTTTTATATTGGTTGAAATCTTTTCATAATTATCATCGAAAGTCATAATGTACAAGTTAAAAAAAATAACAAAAGGGTGGATGATGTTTTTTTTTCTGGCCGTCTGACGATGCATTAGTAATGTGTCATACACCATTAAACACATTGAACGCACAGGCTGAAAACTATGGAGCATGATTCGGGATGTCTTTAGATGTAGACAGTGGATTCATATGTTCAGTTATAACTCTTGGGATTGGACTAATGTCACAGTTATTTGTTTTTAAAAACTGAGGCCTAACGAACAATTATGTAGATGTGTATAAAGTTTCAATATTACGATATTTTCTGTGTTTGCTTGCAATGTGTGCAATAGCTATCTTAGTTCAATTAATGTCTGCCTATGTAAAAAAAAAAATGCATCATCAATGGAGCATAACACTCATTAAACTATTGTTCTCAGCTGCCTTTCAAAACTAGCTGGAATATTTTTCTTAAGGTAAAATATGAATAGATATATGCTTAAATCTGAAAGTTTACAGTGTCATCTTCAAGACCAAGGTTATAATGTATTCTGTGGGGTTTTGGGTTATATCTTCACGTGCAGCCCAAGGATGATCCATGTCGGTATGAGACGTAACATGGAAATTGTTGAGATCTCATCCTGAGTGAGACACATATTTACAATGTAGAAAAATGAGCCACAAGATCGGGTTATACCCTTGGATGCAGTGTCAATTCATTTACCTAATTCTAGTTGTTTTTCTGAATCTCACTTTGCATCACACTGAGTGATGTTAGTAGTATAAGAAAAGGCCTATTTCAGCCCAACGACCCCTATCCCCACACCCTCTAGACCTCCAAACAAATACAAAATGACCACTTCTCTCTGTCCTAAACTCTCACCCCCAATGATATACACATACAATTGTAAAGCAGATCCTAGCTCATAACATGTATACTTTACTTGGTAACATCAGTTATCTAATCAATATCATCTATAGAACCAGCCAAGCTAAAACATGTATATCTTACTTGATAACATCTGCTACTTAATCAATATCATCGTATAGAGCATAGTCAAGTTTTAAAAACCCAACCACTACACAAAATCCAAAGTCAAATATTCTTTAACTACACAAAAACTGGTTAAGTGGCAGATGTATTTTTTTTTTAAGAAAAAGGAGGATGTGAGCCCAAATATCTTTTTTTCACACCCTCCAATCCTTCAAACAAATATAAATTACCTCTATGAGAGACCTTAAAAACCCAACCCCTACACAAAATCTAAAGTCCCTATCTATACAAAATACATAGGTAATTTAATCAATAATCACGCTAAGATCCAAGCTATAGAACACCTGTTGCAAAATACCTAGGTAACGTAATCATAATTGCGCAAAGAACTAAGTTATGTAACAGATGTTAATAATTCTATGGAGACCGAGCCAAGTAAAATGTTTTAGTAATGTTATATACGTCATACGGAGATCATGTGATTAGAAGGAATGTTCTTGACTAAGGAAATACTGTAATGCACATACGTGATTGGAAGTTTCTAGAACATGAAATACTATAATGCGCATGCATAAACGCCTGTGTAAAAGACAGGTACACGTCTAATCACGCAGTTTGAGGGAGCGCTTCATCAGATAACAGATATACTGAGATCATGTTAACACCCAGGCAGAAATTAAACTACGCATTTGTGAAAAGGTTAGTACATTATTATTAAGTTTAGATAAAATTTTATATTATATCATACTTCGTTTGATAATATTTTTCATATTTGCTAACCCTCATTGGTAAAATATTTGTTAACATACTATCAATAATACAGAACTCGCGTATTAAATCGTCCATATTATATTTTATACCACGCAAGTAAGATCGTATCTGATCGAGTAATTTTCTATAGGTGATACTAGCCGCTTGGCAATTATTTTTTTTAGTTGCGAGTCTAGGTTCAACTCTTTTACACGCTGTTGAAAGAGAGACACCAATGCCAGAGATGATTAACAAACACGGATTTAATGATACCCCACTTGAAATTATACCAGAACTGGTCATTAACAACGGTAGATATGATATTATTCGAAGTATTTTGTTGTAATATTTGTAACATTTTTTCACGCACCAAAGTTTTTTATGATAATATTTGTAGTATTGTATTAGTGCGTCCACATCCTGTCCTGGAATATCTTTTGAAATATGATTAAAATCAACTATACTTTTTTCATTATAATATTAGTTCACATAGTCCCATGTTTGGTTAATCCATAATAAGATCTGGTTGTTCAGCTATAAATTCCAAACACCAGAGAAAAATGGCTAATTTTAAAGTTTTATCAACTGGTTCAAGTATAAATTCTTCAGAATTTTTGTCTATTATTACAGATAATACTCCAGATGAGTCATCATTTGGATGACGAAATAGATATTTGGTAGATATTCTAAACTTTGCACTGCTAAGCACTGACAATCTATACACACCGGTAACTTCTGCAATATATTTGATAGAATTATTTTTTGGTGTCCACCCAGTATAACCAGTATCAACAGTATACACAATATTTTTAATCTGCTAGTGAGGAATTTTAATCATACTCGTTTTCTCAATAATATCAGGAATTCCACTTATAATATCATTGAGTTTTGTGTTAATATTAGCGAGTTTTGTGTTAATATTAGCGAGTGTAATGTCAACATTTGATGGATTTCCAAAAAATTCGTTATTAGTTTTGTTTATGTTTCTACGAAAACTTAAAAACGTATTCACGTGACCAAGAAACTCAGTTTTGAGCGCTGTTATTTCATTATTGATTGGAACGTCCTGATCATCAACGTATTTTTTGTTTACAGCATCAAAATCAGACTCAGGTTTTCTGAGGTTAGTAATGGAATTATTGTTCATATTGAGAAATGCACGCATCATACCACCATTGACTGACACATACTTTGATTCTTGATCGTCAACATATTTTTTTGTTGTAGCATCATTATCAGTAGTTGGATATCCAAGATCTGTAATTTTGTTCTGGTTCATAACAATATTCCCACTAAATACATCACCTGCTTTTTTTAACAAAATCATTCACTGACCTACCAGAATCTTGTATCTTACCTCGATTGTTAAAAGTCACGATATTATCAGTAACCGCATCAGTATTTTGTACAAGTACATCTGACAGTTTTACATTACTCGTCTTTAATAGTCCTTCTTTGTCCTGGAAAATAACGACTTCATTTGGATCTACACTGGCAACATCTAATAGATTATTAATTTCATTTTTGAGCTGATCAAGAGTTGCATACCTTGATAAGTCATCTTGATAACCTTCTGTGGATACATCTCCTGCTAATGTTCCAAATTTTGTATAGTACCTCATTATTTACTATCCTACATAAAATTATCAACATTATATAAAATTATAACAATAATGGCAAAGTCGACAATATTAAACTTTGATACAGAGAGACTGGTGAAGCATAAACATAACAATGAACTTCCTGATTGTCATTATCTTATTTTTGGGCGAACTGGATCAGGAAAAACAAATTTGCTTATGAATTTGCTTCTTGGTGATAATTTTAACTACGATAGTGTTTATATTTACACAATCAATCCACAGCAAGATAAGTATGAGTTATTACGCGAGTATAATAACAAGCTTCCTGATGATCTTAAGGCTGTTGAAGATTTTTTTTTTATAATTAGGCAGCCAGAAGATATTATTCCAGTTAATCAACTTGATGCAGATGAACATAAGATAGTAGTTTTTGACGATATTCCGCTAAATAACATGGAGATGAATAAAATAAGATCGTATTTCTCACTGTCACGTAATAAACAGTGTAATTCTCTTTATCTCGATCAAGGATTGTATAATGTTGACTGATTTATTCGACGAAATACTGGTTGTTTTATATTTTTTCCAGGACTGGACAATGTTGACGTTAGAAATATTGCAAGCGAGCAATGCGGTGACGTGACAAAAGATAAATTTATTGAACTATATCGTAATGCTCCAAAAGATAAATACAACTTTTTCTTATTTGATAAACTTACAAATGATCCAACTAAAATGTTTCGCTGTTGTATTAACAGTTACTTACAGTAAAGCGTTTTAGTTTTATAAAATTTATAATAATAATAATGGACAAACGAGCAAGATACAGACAACACATAGAAGATCTAAAAATACTTGCTCAATCTCAGGCATCATTTAAGCAAAAAGTACAGCAATCACGACGTGGACAAGTAACTGCAACAGAAGCAACAGCTACATGTTTCAAGCCAGTTACTGAAGGACTACTTGGAAAATAATCTGAAACTAAACCACTATCAGAAGAAGAACTTAAACAACTGAAAGAAAAAGGGTTGGTTGGAATTGTTAAAGAACAACAGGAAGCAGCTGCTGCAAAAATTGCTACTAGATCTGATGAAGAAAAAAGAAAACTAACTGAGGCACTTACAGCAAATATAGCTGATCCTGCTGCTAGACAAGCTGAAATAGATCGTTTGATAAATAATCCGCTGAAATTTGAGCGAAGATTGGCAGAGTTAACAACGCAAGGAATACAAAATATTGTGATAAATTTATTAGGAGAAATA